AACAACAACAACAACAACAACAACAAATCAAGAAAAAATTCCTAATCGATGAAACAGACAGAGGATATTTGGTTTCAAATGAAAACTCTTACCATACAATATATCTCTCATCCATTCAGTCAGCTAGGCTGTTGCTACGCTGTTAGCATTGAGTAAACACAACTCGCGCACTCCAAGCTTTTCGGGCTCGACCCATGGAAACGGATSGACGTCATGAATAACCTTATTATGTCACAGCTTATTATCGTTTTCAATTTTTGAGAAACGTAGATTTTTCAGATTTTTCATTATTCAGTAAAATAATTTATAGTGCGCGCTAGCTCATCATAAATGCACGTGCTGATTGGCTAACGATGACGTATACAAGAGGGTATTCCACGTGGAATGGCATGGAAGATYAGGAGGGATACCATGTTAAGTTTTGCTTTAAAACTTTTATCCTTTAACCCATCAAGCACCACAAATAAACGTGAAAACTACTTGAAAAAACAAAAACAAAGAAAGAAAGACTACTTGATAAAATAAACGATATGTCCCAGAAAATCTAAAAATAAATCTAAGAACAAATGAAATAAGTCAGATATGCCATTATATGACATCTATATCGTCATTTTTTCCATTTTGGACGCGCCCCTTATGCGCCCCCGCCAATACGTCAGCGTCTAAGCGGTATGCTAAATAATCATTCATCGATGTGAGTCTATCGGGTCGAATTTGTGATGATTTCCAAGAGACGCTATGCAAGATATACCCTTTTTTTAAAAGAAAAAAAAAAGTTGTCGTCGCAAAAGGCGATAGACGATATTAGGTCATTCCGACATGGAAGTGGTTTCGTTTGAATACAAACAACATTGAATCAGTCTCAGCACAACGGTGCATGTTGTTAACGAGAATAAGAAGCAGAAACACAAGTCATTCCAGCTATTCTTGGATCTTGGAATGACCTATTTCCTTTCACTTCTCGCCTATCGCCTATTGCCTATCGCTTTGGGTCATGACAAYGTTTCAGTGCTATGAGATGTTTCCGTAGTGTAGTGGTTATCACATGCGCTTCACACGCGCAAGGTCYTGGGTTCGAACCCYAGTGGAAACATTTTTCCAACAGATAATGCATTTCTWATGTCTGTAATAACTAAATATATCATACAAACTAAATATATCATAACATATTTATATAATATATCTATTTTACATAWTCTAAAATGAAACCTACAAAAATAACCCAGTGTTTAAAATGTAAGTTATACACGACTAGTCAAAAATGGCCGCCAAACTCGGTTGGGACTAGGGACAATTGAATGCGAGCGAGGTAAGTAAGGCCTCATTAGTAAGCAAAGTCTACTCAGTACAATATTTTGTGTCAAAGTCATYCTCCTTTACTTCAAAAGACGCTTAAAAGAACTCGAATTGTTGAGATGAATGAYTATGATACAAAATATCGTACTGAGTAGACTTTGTTTACTAATGAGGCCTTACTTACCTCGCTTGCATTCMATTGTCCCTAGTCCCAACCGAGTTTGGCGGCCATTTTTGAAAGTCGTGCATAGCCAGGACACTTTTCTCTTATATTAGGATATCATTGAATACCAATGTCTGTGTTGGTTATGTGGTTCTCAAACGAAATGCAAAAGTTTGCTGTTTCCGCTGGGGTTCGAACCCAGGACCTTGTGCGTGTTAGACACACGTGATAACCACTACACTACGGAAACAGATGCTGTGGAAAAGCCAAAATACTAATTTCATAAATAGCATCGCTGGTCGTTTTGTTTCATATTCGAAGCTAAGACGACGACGAATAAATATAATAAAAATAAGAAAGTAAAGGAAGTAAGAATTGAAAAGATGAAAGATGAAAGTGTAATAAAAGTATGAATACCTAAGCTGAATCTTTTAGCAGGTGTTATTTCGGGTCATTAATATATATTTGTTGGACTGATCATGGTTCATTTATAACTGACAAAAGAAGGTTGTGGCTGATATTTTGGTAAGTAGTTTCAATTGTGTGCATGGCGTAAATTTATTAAAGAGAAACAATAAAGTTCTATTTTCTTGCTTTTAAATCCACTGCTGACTTTTTGAAGCTATTGTTTTGGATAAAACAAAAAAGACCAGTGTAAAAAAAACCATACAAAAGGAAAGCCATGCATTTATAAGATTTCAATAATTTCAGTAATCATTTAAGTACTCAAATATTAATAGTTGAAAATTTATATTGTTTTGAAATAACTATTTTGAGGCGTTGGCTCAGAAAGAGAACTAAAGCCTGACTTATTTGCACGCTGATATATTGCAACTGGCTCTACAGCCGTTTGCCTTATTACCTTGATTTATGCATTGTATTTTTTGAAGATTTTCAAGCAGGGAAATTTATCAATCATAGTCTCCGTGGCGCAATGGATTAGCGCGTTGGACTTCTAATTCAAAGGTTGTGGGTTCGAGTCCCACCGGAGGTGATTTATTTTTGCCCTTTCTGCCGAAGCTAAAGGGATAGTAAATCCTTTTAGGTAGCGATACATGGCCTATTGTTCATATTCTACCAAATCTACAAAAGTATTTTTACCTTGCAGTTCACTTGAGTCAAACAAGGCTTTTAAAAGTTAGCGTTAAAAGATTCACAACCCAAGATTATATTAGTCTACTTATATATTAGAACTATTAMAAAARTWTTCTCTAAGATACACGTTTTCTAAACGTTGTCATCGCCAAAGGCGAGAAGGAGATAGCAGATCAATCCGACATGGAAATGGTTTCGTTGAATGCAAAGAACATGCATTGAATCAGTCATTCCAGCTATTCTTGYAGTGGATCTTGGAATGACCTATCTCCTATTGCTTTTCGCCTATTACCTTTCGCCTTTGGCGATGACAACCTTTTTTGAAACAAATATATATTGCCTTTGTTTCAGGCTAAGGTGACTAATTTAATTGCGAGTAAATTTAGCGATCTTAGCAAGTCACCCGTTTTGCGTCAAAAGTTAAACGCTCAGATATTTCTGAATTTAGCACAAGTAGTGTCTCAAACATTTAGGCTTTTAACGGTAAAACAACAACAACAACAACAACATAAGCACATTATTATTTTCTTAAATAATAAATTGTACAAAATTAAATAATTGGTCGGCTACCCGCAACTAGTTTTAAGAACTATTCGACTTCAGATCTGATCTTGGTAAATAGGTATCCATAATTCTGTCTGCCGAGTCTCAAAAATGGAATCTTGCGCGCAAGTAGTTGTGCGGCAAAATAGTTCGCAATATAGTGGACTTTCGTATCGAGTTTTCACTGGTTTTACAGGAGCTACTCAGGAGAGGTGTGCAAGGATGTGCAAGCCCTCCCCCTCCCCGC